AAGCTGTCACACGAAGAGGCACTGCCTGAATGCCTCAAGGTATGTCCAGTAGTCAAGCTGCTCTTAGCATCTAAGAGTTAGGTGGCACCAACATCCTCCCATTAGCTCTATAACTTCACTCACAAATCCAGGGTTACATTTGGCTCTTCCACTTAACCCCTGTCTGTTACCATGGCTGCTATGTAGCTGCTATTCAACATTATGTTTCTATTTCTGCTAAATCATTCCTATTATCTTTATCAACCCTAAGTTTCTTTTTAGAACTCTGGAACAATATGAAAACATTAAAAATATTTTTAATTTTGTCTTTCAAATACAATAAAATTCTGATATATGATGTTAAGATAATTCAATTACTAGACAAGTGATCTCTGTTTACATAATACATACTTTGTAAAGAGGTTTCACTGACTTTTTCTTTAGTGAGGTGAGTTTAAACTGTTCTAAAAACAGTAAATTAGCTCATTACTTTGTGTGAATCTAAAGTATGTCCTTTACGAGATTATCTGTAAGTCAAAAACAAAACATTAGGCAGATGGTAATTAAAAATAATGCTAACAGGTACACTGAGCAATAAACTTTCATTTACCTTACATATGCTCAGTTTTTTATTAGTATAAAGGCCCATTAATCAATTCATTAGATTCGTCAAGGCAAGACATTTGAACTACACAATAGGATTTTAAAAGCAGTTGGTTTTGTTGTTCCTGATAAACACATACACACAAGCACACACACACTTGAGCACACACGCATGTACACACACACACACACACACACACACTCAAGCACACACAAACACACACACACACACACACACACACACAGAGTAGAGTACTCTGGATATTGGATTTCCCCCCACAATCCTATATAATTTACTGTTCACAATCTGCAGTATTTTGAAAACTATATATTAAGCATGACCGAATTAGAGCTATCTGATAAACTTTTATAAATTATTTGGGAACTTCAGGTGTTTCCCCAAGAAAACTGACGTTAAACTATAAAAAAAAAAAAAGAAAGAGAAAAGAAAAAGAAAATTCATATAAAAACAAACAAGTTTAACACACATCTTGAAATAAACTCAAGTTGTAACTCAATTCTGTATTTTCTCAAATATGACCAAGAAAAGAGTTACAAGTAGTAATGCCACATTAAGAAGAAGAAACTATTAACAGTGGGCTCGGGGGAAGCTACACAGTATCATTGCACTCCAGGATGTGCAGAATTCAGCATGGGCCAGCAATGGAAAAACTGTCTTGCACTGAGGTTTTCCAAGAGTTACAACGAGCCTGCCAAGAAACATCTGGTCTGTACTAACAGCTTGCTGTCTTCAGTACAGGCCTTCATAATGTCAGCCACGCTGCTCTTGCAAAATCCCTTAGTGTCTGAAACAAACAGAAAAAAAGAAGATTGTATTTCAGTAGTCACTCTTATACCAACTCTTGGGAAGCTAACCCACTGATCAGAAAGGAAAAGAGAATGACACTACCAAGCAAGAGCCAACCAAGCCTCTTCATATTTACACATTTGCTCATAAATTTTATACCTTATGTATGTTAAAAATAATGCGCATGTTTAGGAACTAATTAATTGAAAGTAAGGAGAAGCTATGCATCTACAAACTATAATAAGACACATCAATTCTGGCTACTAGGAGTTCAAAGTTTGAAGGAATATCCATCTGTTCCATCTTAAGTGGGAAATTGAAGTGCTAATATATGTAGCATCTACTAGTGTCTGTGGTAAAAATTAATAGAAACCTATAAATAGCTACTGTATTTTTAAACTACTTACAAAATAGTTTTCAGTGCTGATAGGTAGGGCTATGATCGATGATGTGGGATTGAATCCATATGCACATTGAGTTTCATTTCATTGTCAAGAATTTGAACAAGTTGTTGCATGGATGGAAGATGACCAGATTCCAGCTTAGACCATACCGGCACATCTACAAAAACAAACAGCCAGCACCCCCACCCAGCCCAAAAACACATTAAAGATGATTTCACAATAGACATCAACCCCACAAATATTTATTGAGTTTCAAACACAATTAGGGATATAGCAGTGCACTGCTTCTTCCTCTTGGTGGGTTTTCACTGCAGCAAAGGAACCACTGGGCATTCCAAGTCACCACAAAATGATACTATGTCCGAAGATTAAAACCAGAGCGCTAGAGTGCTAGGAGTGCAAACACCAGCCTCTCCTGCTGCCTGGCCAGGGAAGCACAGCAGTCAAACTACATCTACAAAAATAAAGAAAAGCCACTAAGCTAGAGGAAAGGCTCGTAGAAAACTTTTGAGGTGAAAAGAAATGTAAAGGCAAGAAAGGAGTGTGGGCCTACACAGGCTATTGTTACAAGAAGTATTGCATGAGAGACTGAAGAGGCACAGAAATTTAGATCGGGGTAACAAACTGCAACACAGCAGCAACTGAACATCTGCCTAGGGAAGCATATCTGTCAGTCACTCAACTCACAGCATCTTGAGGGCAGCAATGGAAATGCATTTTACAACTGGGCATAGCTGTGTTCAAATGAAACCATCAGACAAGCAACAGGACATGAAATACACAGCCACGGCTGGCTGATCCCCAAACTAGATTTTTGCAGGACCTTTGCTCACACTAATACACTGGCATTTATCTTGAAAAAGAACTTGCTTAAGGAGTTTTAGTCACTCAAGGGACACAAGGAAATCTTCATTAAAAACATCACTGTAAGAAGAAAAAGCAAACAAACAAAAGAACCCAAGCGGGGCGGTGGTGCATGCCTTTAATCCCAGTGTTGCAGAATATTAAGATGGGTTACATTTGTTTATGCTGTGGAATATTTGTTTCATGATGCAAAAATATGTTACATTTTTTTTTTTTTTTTTTTTTTTTTTTGGTTTTTCGAGACAGGGTTTCTCTGTGTAGCTTTGTGCCTTTCCTGGAGCTCACTTGGTAGCCCAGGCTGGCCTCGAACTCACAGAGATCCACCTGGCTCTGCCTCCCGAGTGCTGGGATTAAAGGCGTGCGCCACCACCGCCCAGCATGTTACATTCTTTTATGTTGGATTTGCTTAACTCAGTGAAGCTGTGTTACTGTGTCTGATGGTCTAATAAATAGCTGAATGGCCAATAGCAAGGCAGGGGAAATGATAGGCAGGGCTGGCAGGCAGAGAGTATAAATAGGAGAAATCGGGGAGAAAAGAAAGAGCAAGAGAACAAGGAGAGGAGGATGCTAGGTGCCAGCCAGCAGCCAGCCAGCCACAGAGTAAGAGTGAAAGTAAGACATACAGATATAAAAAAAGGAAAAAGCCCAGAAGCAAAAAGTAGATGGGATAATTTAAGAAAAGCTGGCAAGAAACAAGCCAAGCTAAGGCCAGGCATTTATAATTAAGAATAAGCCTCTGTGTGATTTATTTGGGATCTAGGTGATGGGCCCCCAAAAGAGCCAAAGAATAAAAAACAACCAACAACATCCCAGCATTCACGAGGCAGAGGCAGGTGGATCTCTAAGTTCAAGGCCAGCCTAGTCTACAGAGTAAGTTCAGGCCAGCCAGGGCTATTACAAAGAGAAACCCTGTCTTAAAAAAACAAAAATAAAAATCGTTAGAGGTCTATTTGCAATCTGCTGTTCAGAGAACGGGAGTCATGTAACACGAACTAGGATGCCAGCAGGGAAGATTAGTAGAAGTAGATTTGTAAGCAATGTAGGAGACAGATTTGAAAGGTCCTGGTAATCCCTTAACTATGGAGTGGAGGGGATAATGGAAGGCTACCCTAGGTTTCTGAGCAAATTAGACAAATGATGGAACAATTAAAGGAAAAAAAAAAAATCCCAGAGGAGAATCAAAGCAGCACACAGGAACCAGAGGGGGTAGCTAAGAGCTTATTTTGAAGTAGGTTATCTTAAAGATTCCCAAGCAAAGCACTCAAAACAGGTCTGCAGTACCCTAAAGGTATGCACTTAGGAATCATCCTACAGGTTTATTTTAAAGCTATGGAGTAGAATATTAGCCAGACAGAAAACACATGGGAGCCAAATCATCTAGAAGTTCTAGAAACTCAAGTAGCTAAGATTCTTCTCCTGAATTTTCAATCTCTATCATATAAACTGTTTTATATGGACATTAAAAAAGTTTCTCATGAAAAATAAAAGCCTATTTGTTATTAAGCATGTAACTCATCACAAATGCACACTACTCAGAACCTACCATTTAACGTTATCTCAAATGCACCTGTTGACATACACTGGTTCTCAATCATGTTGCTCAAGAAGAAAACCATCATACATGCATAAACCTAGAAATCAAACAGCACAAAACATAAGACACATTCATTTGTTTTGACAGTTTCAACCTTAATTTGATAGTACTTTCTTTTAATATACTTTAAAAGTGTCCATATAAAATATCATCTCACAAATTATCTACACACCAGGAAAAATTCACAGTTCTTTATATGGTAAAGAACCTACATACAGTATTCATATTTTATATATAGACTTTCTAAAACATTCAATAACTGAAGTTAAATAAAAAAAGAATACCATTTAGAATGGTTCACTTTACCAAATTTATAATGTAAAATGTCTTCACAAGAGAACAGTGATGCAACCACCAGCAACTTTATGTAGATTACATACAACCTACTTAAGTTTAAAAAAAATCATTTTAAAACCATTTATAGGTTTAGACTGCCCTACCACATGCATTTACCCTTCAAAGGCAAATCTACCTTCTTAAAAAAGAGGTAAGTACTTCAATTTAGTAAAATTACTGGACGAAAAGTTGGATATGATGAAGATATAAATTATAACACATTGTTTCAGAAAGTAAATGTCTATAAGAGAAAGAAAGAGCTTGCCTGCCTATTCTATTGAGCCAGGTGGTGTTTGATGTCACAGTTTTTCATAGGAACACAGAAGGCATTGTCATAAAATCTGTATCTTTACCTCTTGACTCTTCTATGATCAACCAAGAATGACAACTATACTTATGTGCTATACATAAGTGAGCACAGTACACAACACTCAAGCACTGAACTGCAAACCCACATCTGGTTAACAATGGGGCAAAGACGTATTTCTCCTAGAGACACCTAAGGAGGGTTATGTTAACAAATGCCTGTTCTAGAAGAACCACCAAATGGGAGTCTGCTAATGGTACTAAGGCTAGAACTAAAGGGCAGAGCTGGAGCACTCCCCAGAGAACTTCGCTTCATGAGGGAAGCATCTAAAACACTCTCATTCAAGAGAGAAATAAATTAGATCCATTTCTGATGATGGTAAATGACTCAGGGAAAAAAAAAGATGTTAAGTATAAAGATAAAAAGAAGACTAATCAGCAAAGTTCACAGGCTGCATGCAGCCATGCAGTAATAAGCTTGCCTACCTGGCTGAATAAGAAAAACCCAACACCGAGAAAGACATAACTTCTCCTTTTTCTTCTTTCTCTATCCTAAGCATGTTTTCCTTAACACTTTGGACTTTCCCCCAATGTTTGGGCTTCCTTACTCTTTCTCTAAAGTGTCCCTCTCTACCATGTGGCTGCCCAAACATGAGTCTGACCTCCACACCAGCTTAAACGTCACAGTTTTTTCCTTCTCTCCTCCAGGCAGCTGCTGAGGTTTTACAGTGCTTCTTTCTCTTTGAATCTAAGAAAATTGTCCCTGTGCTTCCAAGTTAAAAAAAAAAAAAAAAGATAGATCTAAAATGTAAAAATGTATACTCTAAACACACACACACATCACCACACCTAAAAGCCCACAGTCCCCAAAGCCACATACCTTATTTTCTTGGCCCCACTGCCAGATGCTAGGAGCTTGCATGCCGAAAAAAGCAAAAGGATCCTTGCCAACAATTATTAAGCCTATTAATACTAGTTTGAAGATTGACAGGAAAGATGCTATATGTCTATCAAAAGAAAAGAAAAGAAGTTAATCAGAAACTACAATTTCTTATCAATTCTGAAATTTAATAACTAAACTTTATGTGAAGACATTTTCTCGATATAAAATCTGTTATTAATTACATTAAATTTAGTATCAGTGATTTTCTAGTAAATTTGGGGAGCCTTGGGTGTGGTTCAGTGGTAAAATGCATGCTCAGAAGGTGCGACTAACTTCCCAACATAAAGTATATGAGGAAACACCTCTTTAAAAGTCATCATCCCATTGTTATTTACAAAGTAGCATTCTCTGTATATTATTATAAACAAATAAGAAATTACTTGAACCCAGCAAAGGTGAATGAGCCCATTTACAAAGCTTGTAAGCTGAAAGACTGTATTCAAGTCACTGAAATTCACTCACCTATAAATTGGTTGAGGGAGGTAATTCTCTCCTTCAATGCGGATGTCTGGATACCGCTGGCTAATAACCCGCATGTACTCCTCAAACACCCGCCTGTACCCTCAGGATACACTGCCAAAAAAGAAATGTTTCCATTAAGTGTTTTGAATGCATATAGACTTAAAGTTAAGAAAGTTTAAAAATTAGCAGATTAATTTTTTTTTCAAAATCCATCACAATTAATGACGGACCCTCGACAATGGATAATAGGGAAGGTTTTTTTTTTCCCATCCTACAAATTTTCTATATTTATGTTCCTAGTGAATAAATCAGCTGGTTATAACATTACATTTCATTGCTTTGGATTAGACAACAGCAAACACCAATGCACACATGTCTGCATATCAAACTCTTACACCAATTGACTCTTTGTAGAGACTGTAGAAAATGTTGACTGAAATGCAAGCAGCAGAAATCCTCTCCAACTGCTTACTGCTTATACAGAGCCCTGAAGTGCATTTGAAAAGTTCTGAAAGTGACTCTGGCCCCGAAGACATGCAGCATGGCCTGTGAGAGACCAAACAGCGAATCCAAAAGTGTGTGTTTTTTCTTCTCGGTCCTATTGAAAGATTTTGACTATACTTCTCCCAAAGATTCTGGCATTAAATGTTATTTGATAGAGAATAACTTTAAAAACCCACGTTCATTTCTAGAGAATTCCAAGCTATCCTACAGTAGGCGTGAATTTCTGGAACATAGTGGCCAGGGGTTGTGTCCCATAAGCAGGACCTAATCCTCTGCCATGTGGTTATGAAAATGGGAATGGAGGGGAGTAGAAGAAAGGGGTAGGGAGAAGTCAGATTTTTTTCCCTAATGGTAAAGGCCTGAGATTTTGGTCATTCTCCCTCCCTATCCTTCCTCTTTTTCCTCCCTAGGTACTGGGGTCAATCCTTGTGATAGGAAAGCACTCCACTGAGCCATACTCCTTAGCCTACCCAAGCTTTAATCTTTAATTTGGAGGCAGTGAGAGGTTAAGAACTTGTAACAGGTCTGAGTATAGTACAAATAGATATTTGTTTACAATTAGCAGATAGAGCTGTGGGCACCATGGGCCCTGGCCCCCGACTGTGAGTGGCTACGGCCTTGCTTGCTGACCTTGATCAGATGTCCTCCCTATTCAGATTCCCTGCCGGTATCCACCCTTCTGAATGCTTAAGGGAAGTTCCTTGTTTGTGTATCCTGCATTTTGGGCGTTAACAACTTAGATGCAAGAATGTAGAACATTGGGTCTGGAATGTAGACCATTGGTAGCGAACTTCTGCCCTCCGGGGGTTCCTCCATTTGTGCTGTAAGCCTGTATTTAAGGTTTCTTCCCTCTTTCAATAAACGGCATTCGACATTCAGTCGTGGCGAATGACTCGCTGTCTCTTGTCTCTATTTTTAATCCGCAGCCCTTCGCTCGGACATGGTGAACAGGTATCGGTAATGCGGGCGTTACCGCTACAAGAGCAGAGCAAAGTGAAATGGTTGGTACCTAGTTAGGCAATGGTGATAGTTTGCATGTAATTGGCCCCCACAAGGTCATAGAAAGTGGCACTATTAGGAGGTGTGGCTTTGAAGTAGGAATGGCCTTGATGGAGGAAGTGTGTCACTGTGGGGACTGGCTTTGAGGTCTCCTATGTTCAAGATCCTGCCCAGGGTCTGAGACCAGTTCCAGTTGCCTTCTGATCAAGATGTAGCCAGCACCATGTCTGCTTGCATGTTGCCATGCTCCCTGACAAAACAGACTGAACCTCTGAAAACTGTAAGCAAGCCATCCCAAAGAAATGGTTTACTTAGAAGAGTTACCATAGCCATGGTGTCTTTTCACAACAGAAACCCTAACTAATGAACTAAATTGGCAGAGTTGAAAAAGCACCGAGTCTTCTTTGACAGCATCAGAAAGACTTACTAAGTTGCCAGTTCTATTGTGTGTGTGAACTCTCCCCAATATACTGTCACTGAAGACCAGACCAATCTCTTAATGTTGCTCTTTGAAGAGTGCCCAGACTCTAGTGAACACTGAAGCAACATTTCATGAGTGTTAATATAGGTTTGGTTTATTTAAAGAATCATGAAATTGAGAATCAGTTTTAACATGTTTTGTAGATAGAAGTATTTAGTCTACATAAATAAATTGTTAGAGAAACCTTTCAAGTCTATTTATTCTCCAATGAAATCTTTCCTAATCCTAAATTGTACAGTTTCCCCTAAAACGCTCTACTATAGCCAACAAATGCTCCATTTCTCATCATACTCTTGCTTAACTCTGTTCCTCAAACCATCAACTATCACACACACAAAAACCTTTTCTCATACAAATCCATGCTAGTCCACCCATTCCTAGCCCCAAACCAACTATTAAGTCTTCTGCTTATTCCATTTGGTTCAGACTAAGCCTCCCAATAGGTTGGTTAGAATTTTAGGACTGACAGTCTAATTGGAAACGTCTAAGAAGTGCCAGCAAGAAGGCCATGCCTCACTTGTGCTCCTCCTCACCACGTACCCTTGCATTCCACATACAGTTCCTAGGAGTCTCCAGCACACTAGCCAGCTGACTCTAAACTCATACATTTGCTTTGTACTGTTAGTCTCACTTTATACTGAGTATTATAATAGTTCCCCAAAGCTCACTGTTTTGCAAATACATAACTTTTTTGAATTGGATATTTCCAAAGGGTAAAGTACAGTACCTGAACTGGATCAAAAAACAAACTGATCTGGTCAAGATGACTCAGCAGGCAAAGGTGCTTTACCGCCAAGCCTGACCTACACAGCATAGGTAACTGTGTGAGAGCGAACATGTAAACATACACATACATAACAATTACAATTTTAAAAGGTTAGTGATTACAATTTAGAATGTTTTAAGCTAAAACCACATTAGGGTAAATGCAGAATATAACAAAAATGGCTTTTTAACCACAGGCAAGACAAGAAGATGGCCAAAATACAGTGAAAACTCTCAATTCTCATTTTTCTTTTGATTTCCCATGAAAACTGAAGCAGGCTCTAGAACAAGGCAAGCCTGTGAGGTTTTGCCTCCCCTGCTTTAGACCTGAGCAGGCTCAGAAAAGGAGGGTTGACTTGTTCATAGTCATAAGACTAATAGAAGACAGAGCCAGAGGCCGGGTGGTGGTGGCCCATGCCTTTAATCCCAGCACTCGGGAGGCAGAGCTAGGCGGATCTCTGTGAGTTCAAGGCCAGCCTGGTCTACCAAGTGAGTTCCAGGAAAAGCGCAAAACTACACAGAGAAACCCTGTCTCAAAAAAAAAAAAAAAAAAAGAAGACAGAGCCAGATGGGAAACCAAATTTTGTGAGCTCATCAACACACACATCTGATTCCCCAGTCAACTTCCTCAAAGGATGATAAAGCCAAGAATTTTCAGATTAGAAAGACTGACAGACACAAAAATTTTCATGGGCTAGTGAGATGGCTCAGCATGTAAAACTGCTTGCCACACAAGCCTGATGATCTGTGTTCAATTCCTGCACCCATGCTGAAGATAACCAACTCTCTAAGGCTGACCTTAGAGACCTCCACACATGTGCACGCATACCCCCCCCATAATAAATAAAATAAAAATAAAATAAAATAAAAATTATGTTTTACTTTTTCAGCAGTACTATGGGAAGTACTAAGGGAGGGCTGCTAACTCTGGACCGATGGATGGAGTTAGGAAATATGTTCTCCAACTGGCAACAGTGCAGGTCCATTAACTTGCTTTGTCATAGCATTCACTCTGGTCTAATGAGGAGAACACCTGCACTATCCAACTACACCTGTATTCTCAAGATAACCATGTAAAAGTGACAGTGGGTATGTAGAAAAATGCTTATCACCATACTAGAAAAAACAACAGTACTTTAAGTGATTAAATTTCGGTCTCCTGAAGGAGTTTACAGTCTAATTTGAGAGAGACAAATATATAGCAAAAACTGGGGAACAATTATGAGGAAACACACAAGCAAGCCCACAATGCAGTGCATAAATCAAACACGTGTTAAAGTGAGAATGTAGCTGTAATTTCACTATTATATGTAACTTTCTACCACTCTTTTCTCAGGTCATAATCTATCTGGATTTAACCTTTTTAGAAAACAATCTCTAGTCTCTCCTCTTTCTTAGCAAACTTGGTGATAATAAACATGGGCTCATGTACTAGAGAACTGGACATTAGGGCTGAACGGAGTAGTGAAGTCACAACAGGAAGACAACTCGACACAGACTACCCAACCACCTTCCAAATGAACTAGTCAAGGGGAAAGACTGAGTGACACACACCTAAGGGAGAGCCTGCCTGTGTGCAGCACAGATGCTAAGTTAAACAAAAGAAGTTCTGTGGCCTCTGAAAGCAAGCACTGTGATTTCAGGACACAGAACAATGAATGACAAAACACCTAGGCTTCGTTTTCATTCTTACAAGAACCACTATAGGTATCTTTAACCTATTTACTCTCCGATTCTTATTTTCTTCTACCAGTCAAAATTTCCTAAAATATTAAACTACTATTATGCTGGGCAAGCACTGTGGCACAGAACAGCACCCCAATCTTTTTCTCTTTGGAGACAGGGTCTCATTAAATTGCTTAGGCTGTCTTCACACTTGCCTTCACACTGGGATAGTAAGTATGTGCCATCACACCTAGCCTGAAAATGTTTAAGATCGATTTTAGTTCATAAACTCTTATCCAAGTCCTGAAAACACAGAAATTCACATCAATGTAGCACACTAAACACTAACAATGACCATGACTAATGGCAAGATCTAGAAGAAAATTGCAAGGTAAACAGAAAGGCCAAAATAAGAAAAATTATCTGAACTTTGCTTCTGGAAAACTCCTATTTGAAAATTCACAGAGCTAGGTCTTAAGAGAGACTGGACAGTCAACCTTCACCTCTGCAAAGTGGAAAAGGAACCACCTACCATAAAGTGCCCCATCCCTAGGTTTCTATATCCCAACAGAGGGTTTGTTTGTTTTTTAAAGATTTATTTATATATATATGTATGGACACTCTGTCTGCATGTTCATCTGCACGCCAGAATAGGGCATCAGATCCCATTATAGATAGTTGTGAGCCACCATGTGGTTGCTGAGAATTGAATTCAGGTGTTGTGGAATATTTGTTTGCATTGTACAGATGTGTCTTTGCCAAAGTGCTTTCTGATTGATTTAATAAAGAGCTGAATGGCCAATAGCTAGGCAGGAGGTATAGGTGGTACTTCTAGGCAGAGAAAGAGAGGAAGAGGAATCTAGATGCACAGAGACACTGGGAGACACAGAATAAGTCAGAGGTACAGAATGAAAGAAAGGTAAAAAGTAACGTAGTAGAACGTAGATTAAAAAATATGGGCTAAGAGCACTGGCTGCTCTTCCAGAGGTCCTGAGTTCAATTCCCAGCAACCATAAGACTCAACACCAACTACAATGAGATCTGTTGCCCTCTTCTGGAATGTAGGCATATGTGCAGGCAGAACACTGTATACATAATAAATAAACAAATCTTTTAAAAAAAATATGGGCTAATTTAAGATATAAGAGCTAATCAGGAACAAGCCTAAGCTATAGGCTGAGCTCATAATTAATATAAGTCTCCATGTCATTATTTGGGAGCTGGCTGGCAGGACAAAGACAGACTCTTTACATATGGTGTCCAACATGAGGCTCAAATATCCAAACACAGGGCCCGAGAAAGCGTTAAAAAAGTTCTGGACAAGGAGTCAGATGTGGATTCCTAGTCCTGCAGTCCCTCAGGCAGGCCAATACAGAGGCACAGCTACTGGCCACTGCTTGTGGGTTGGAATCAGCCACCAGCACTATGTGCCAGTGCCACGCGCTAAGCTGAGCCACACAGTGGCTGACACAGTCAGAGAATGCTACAGGCATTTAGTAAAGGCAGGTCCAGACACAGAAAAACCTCTAAAAAGGTACAGTATGTTTAAAAATGTACTAAGATGCTGAAAAGAAATAATTTAAATATAAAAAACACAGAAACAGAAAAAATAGTTTAAACATAAAGTATTTAATGAGTGTACAGTAATACAAAAAGAATAAGCCATGTAAAGATGGGAAGCACACAGCATGTCTGGATCCTGTATGGTCCTTTGTTGACTGAATTTCTTAAATGCTAATGTACAAAAAACAGTAACTGCTGAGAGACAATGGATTATGGAAACTGCTAAATTAAACCAACCTATATATTTTAAGAATATCTTAACTTCAAAATGGAAGTCAGAAAATACATTGAGTTGAGGAGAGGTTATGTTTCTATTTCCACAGGAAAGAAAAACTTAACACTTCTCTTCAAAATTAATAAAGATCAGATTTGACTGGGGGAGACCTCCTGAGATCTTGGCTGCAGACAAGAGGGAAAAGGCCAAAAAGACTACAAGACAGGTGATGTATAAGCTGATCCCTTGACATGGGAACAGCTCTGAGACTGGATGAGACATGACAAATCTTGTTGGCTACAGAGTCCTTATGACTTATTATTACATGCCATCCTTTCATATGGAATGGATAGTGGTTTGGTTATACAGTTCAAACAGACAAAGTTAACAGATGCCTTTTACCTGCTCAAACATAAAACAAAAAGTCATCTTTGACTTATGAACACTGCACATTCCATACTTGTGTTAATCCATATGTTACCTTTAAAAGTATACGTGTTTTCAGAAAAAAGGACCAGACACCAATAAAGGCAAGTAGCCCAGATGATCCAGCCTCACAGAATGTCTGTTGCCATTTCATGAAAATTCTACATCCACAACTTCAAAACTGCTAGCTGAGATGATCCAGCCTCACAGACTATCCAACCAAGACTTCAGATAAGTGCTACACTTTCCAATCATAGAGAATAAACAAAAAATAATACAGCTAGCTCTCCCAGGACTTGATCATTATTCCATTTTTCTCAGAGGCCCCCAAAGATGTTGTTGCCCTCAAATAACAGTAAACAGTCTAGAAAACATAGTACTCACATTCCCAAGAGGTGGGATGGGTAGTTTTGGGTCATTTGGTGAATTATGGATGTTTGCCATCATCTGGGAGGTTGATTACAAGTTCTTATTTGTAATAGTCAGGAAAAAAAACTGAACAAAGGAGATTAGATTCAAGGATCTCTTTCTGAAGGGAATGGAGGCAGGAATATAGTATAGAAATGAGGGGATAGAAGGGTGGATTGTTGAGTTTACTTCTGAACAACCACTAGTTTCAAATATTTTACATTGGTATGGATTTTTGTACACTGACACAAATTTAAGGTTATTTTCAATATACTGTATATGTATGTTTGTACTCTTGTTTAAGATACTGTACCTATGCAGCTCATTTAATACATTTTGTACCACACAGAAATCTCTAAGATATACGCAGGGACCGCATGTTTTTGGGCAAACAGCATGTTATTTAAATCGTCATAATTACAGATCATAATATACTCTGTGTGTTGTTTTTTTCAATAATTATTAACATTTTTATTTACAAAAACAAACAACTAATTAAACAATTAAACAACTAATTAAACAAAGTTCCTAGTACTTTATTGACGTATGGTATTGTGTCAAACATGTTCCTCTATGAAGAGGGACCAAACAAACTTTTCATCTTTTTCCATGAGCTGCACAAGCTCTGCAGGTTCTCTGTAGGAAATGTTTTCTTCCCACTTGCTGGAATACACATAGATCCACGCTGCTCCGTATCACCTGACAATTTTTACGAGGTGCTCTCCCTGAACCCCCAGGGGAAGGGCTGGACAGATTGTCTCTGGTTCTGGAGAGCCTTCATTATTGACATCTGTTATCTAGTCTCTCGCCCCCGACAGCAGAAACTGTTTACACTTCATTTTTGCTTGTGGATTGAGGTCGTTGTACACTCTAAATGAGCTGAAAAGTCCACAGTTTATAAGGTACAGCACTACTTTTTTGGTCCATTTCATCATTTTCCTTAGAGCAGAACAACACGTGAGGAATTGATCTGCACAGTCAATGCCTTTCATGTGGGCATTGTATTCCTTGATGCAGGTAGGTTTTATAGTATTTTCTCCCATTTTTTTTCCTGTTGTTGTTGAGACAGAAGTGTCATGGATCGTTGACATCATTCAGACAACCCACTTGTCTTCCCATGCTAGGAGAAGAATGTCACCTTTTCTGGAAAATATTACATCACCTTTCTTGATTCTTGATGTTTTCCATTTTCACATTTGGTGGTAAACATCTACTCTTCCTAATAGTCCCACAGACTCTGGTTTTGTTCTGTAGCAGCAATTCAGCAGCAGATACAACATTGTAATGATTATCGTGGTAAATATGATGCCGTATGCCAAGATAGGTTCCAAGGAATGAAAGAGCAGTTTCTTACAATCTCTTTCCTTCAGCAGTGTGTATCTCCATATTACAGCTATAGCCAGTGTCACTCTAGCACACCATCTAAACAAGTAAACTACATTTTGTTATTTTCGCTGGGTTGTACGTGCACAATTTTAAACGTACTTTTCATGGAATCAAAGACAACTGTTGCTTTGGTGTGTATATTGTTCAAAACTTATGCAGGAAATAATCCAGCACAGGCTGGATTTTCCAAGTGTCCCTGAGCTACTGTCCATTTTGGCGTTATTACTGAAATGTCAGAATGTCCATATTTGCTCAAATCTATGGCATATCTCTGTCTGTAGAAATACAGGGGTACATATCAAGGATCTGTTGGCCAATAGTCTTTCAAGCTATCTTTTCTTGTTTGATCCATCAGAATAATTAGGCCAAGGAATTTCTTGATGTCCTTCTGTGTAAACAGAGACCATTTAGTGTTGTAGATGGTGTTTTGCATTTCATTGAGGTTTGATTATGATAGTTGGACAGTTCTTTGCACATCTCAAACAATTCATTACCGAAAAAGAGACTGGTAACAGAGGGTATAGAATCATACTGAAACAGAAATGTAGTGACTCTAGCATGACCTGCAAACATTTGTAAGCATGGTGGTGTGTCAATTTCAGACCGACGATTATCAGTAGCTTCATCAGTGTGGGAATCACTTAAAAGCACTGCCACCCCGTGCTTCCTTACAGGTCTAATCATTTCACTGTGCATAGAATTGGCAAAATCGTCTCCAGAATCGTCAGAAGTCATCTATATCTTCCATCTCACTAGGAATATCTGATAAATTATGGGTAAATACTTCCAGAAGTGTATCAGTTGCATTGGTTTCTCTTTTTCTGAACGAGGGCATATTTAAAAGCACCGGGATATGGTGATATTTTGTTTATATTCTAACAAATAAAATTTGCCTGAAGATCAGAGGACAGAACCAGCCACTAGATTAAACATAGAGGCCAGGCAGTGGTGGCACACACCCTTAATCCTAGCATTTGGGATCGCATGCCTCTGCTCCCAGTATTTGGGAAGCACACACGCCATTAAGTCCAGCACTAAGAAGGTCGAGACAAGAAATGATATGGCTGGGTGGAGAAAGGCATATAAGGCGGGAGGAGACAGGAACTCAGGCTTTCAACTGAGGAGATGGCATGGTGAGAAGTGGCTGTAGCTTGTTTCCTCTGATCTTTTAGCATTTACCCCAATATCTGGCTCCAGGTTTTTATTATAAGACCAATTAGGATTCGTGCTACACCAGGAACTGGAAGACAAAGACAATTCAAATGACCAAAATACAATGTAACTGCAATGCTTTATGGGTCCATGCAATTATATAGTTTTTCATAGATTAACCTGAACAGTTTCCACCAATGAAATTGCTTCATTCAATGTGGGCAAGACAGTGTTGACATCTAAGGTCCATAACAGATGGTGCATGAAACATGAGAAAACTCGTGAGCAGTATGAAATGTGTTAAAAATGTAATGCAAAGTTCTAGTCCTTAAAAGCTATTATTATAAACTATTTAGGATAATTAAGAAATGCAGGTTAGTAGTTAGTCATCTATAACAATCAAACTTGTAGTCATGTTAGGTATGTTTTTAAGGTCACACAGAAATATATTTTAGATAGATAGATGGTCTTCAAATACTTCAAAGACCTACAGAATATGGCATTCAAAATGTTTTCAATAATATAAGGCTTTTCATGACAGTAAGACTTGTGTGTTCCTGGCAGTACCAATTCACTTCAAAATAGGATGATGGGCATCAAAAAACCTCCATATGGAGTTTGATTTCAATGTCACAAAGCTAGCCATTTGGGCAAGACAGTGATCTTGCCTCAACTGCTGACAGCATGCTGTCCAAACTGGACAAGCGGACACAAAAGAAAGTGACAGCTGAACTTTGCCAAGACAAGATAGGACAGTCCTTCAAAATTCCTGCTTTACAGAAAAGTCCATCAGATATTCTAGGCCTGTAGGGTGAAGATGGATAACCCAATGTTATAGAGAAACCTTGGGGTGACTGTCCAGGCATCCAGATGTCTCTGTCGTTTCTATAGTTATTTGCTTTACATTTCCTGTTTACTCAGGTAATAACCTTCTTGGGTCTCTGATAGAGTTGAAGATGAGACAGTTATAGTTTCAGTTTTTCTTGTTACCAAATTAAAAAAACTCACCAAAGAAGTACAAAGTTTTTAAGGTTGAAAAACATAAAGGTTTAAGTTGTTTTAGCTAAGAAAATGTTTTGAGGTCTAAAAAGATAGCTTTAGGATGGTAATACAAGTTATGATAGAAAATAGTTTATGTATAAAATTTTAAGTTCATCAAGATAAGATGGACAATAGAGTATTTTCTCCAAGTATGCTAAATACAAATGGACTAGACATTGTGAATGTAATTCTTACCTGATAATTGTTCTTATTGTACACAATTTTACTATGATAAAGTTAAAAAAGCCTTTCCTTTTTAATTAGACAAAAAGGGAGAAACACTGTGGAATATTTGTTTACATTATAAAGATGTGCCTTTGCCAAGATGCCTTCTGACTGGTTTAATAAAGAGATTAATTGCCAATAGCTAGGCAGGAGGTATAGGTGGGACTTCTGGGCAAAGAGAGAGAGGAAGAGGAGGAGATGCAGAACAAATCAGAGGTACAGAATGAAAGAAAGGTAAAAAGCCCCATAACAGAATGTAGATTAAAAAATATGGGCTAATTTAAGATATAAGAGCTACTCAGGAATAAGCCTAAGCTATAGGCTGAGCTTTCATAATTAATGTAAGTCTGCATGTCATTATTTGGGAGCTGGCTGGCGGGACAGAGAAAGACTTGTTACACTCCGGACCTCTGGAAGAGCAAGCCAGAAGTCTTAGCCACTGAACCATCTCTCCAGCCCCAGACATTTACAAAGAGAAATGCTGGTGAGATTGGAGCAGAAGAGGCGCATCAGGGGCTGAGGGGAACAGGAATGATGACAGTGGTACAATGAAATCTGGAAGCTTGGTTAGGTGTCATGGAGGCCAAGGACATAGCCTGCCCCACATACAAATACTCTGGGCTAGGCAGAGGATGGCTGGGTAACAACCTACCAGACTGGAACCATCATCTACACTCCAGCAAAGGGCTGGAGACAACAGGCATCACAGGACTAACTATAGCAGATGAGTACAAATTCCACCCATTTTAGTTTTTTTTTTTTAAACAGACAAAAGTCTACCATTGGCAACACTTTAACAGTTCTCTAATGGATAAGTCTTCATAGCCACTGTTTCTCTTAAAAAAAAAAGGGGGGGGGGAATAAAAACTAAAATACAAAACTGGGTCTGTGTGGTAGCTTTGATTCTAGCACTCCAGAAGCCGAGGCAGGTGCATCTGTGTGAGTTCAGGCCAGCCTGATCTACATAGAGTTCCATGACAGGGAGTGATAGACTGGAGACCCTGTCTCAAAACAAAACAATGAAAAGAAAGAAAAGATCTCAAAGACTATAGGGGGTAAAGTCAAAATAAAAGAGCAGACTCAAAATAAGAGTCTACACTAGAAGCTGACCTGCAGGCCGGAGAGGCAGCTCAGAGAGCACATACCATACTCATCACCCCACAGCTCAGCATCTTGACAACTCCTACCTCAAGCCTTGCTTCTCTCCACTGTATCTGTGGAGTCCACTGGGGAGCTCAGTGGCAGGTACTCATCTAGACCTAATACAAAATGGCACAGCGTTTATATACATCCTGCACACATCTTCCTGTATGCATGAAAGCATCTGTGGAGTACTTTAATACTCAACACAGTGGAATAGTTATGAATACTGCTATTTGGAGAATGCCAGTACAGTGCAATATACCACTCTCTGCAGACATTTTCAATCTGAGATTGGCAAAATCCATGGATATGGATCTCACAGATACAGAGGGCCAACTGAAATTCACCACCTCATGCTGCTAAATTACCTACCTCTTGAAGACCTCTCTAACCTCTTGGTATTTCCACTACTACCTTTTGTTCAGAGTTCCATCACCTCTCAGTTGGATAACTCTAAAAAGCCCCTTCCCTCCTAAACATATTCCCTCCCATTCTTGCCCTCTGAAAAAAAATTTCTACAATAACACTAGTTGGCCTCTCTGAGGTAGTTGAAGCCTCAAGGGTCTATGCTATGCATTCTTTAAAGTCAATAAGAGCCTTGGGCTTCTCATGCAAAGTGTATTTTCTTTCAATAAGGCCATGGTTTTCAAAGCCCCACAGAAACAGATCTCATCATTAGATCTCTGTTCAAGGGGTGAGGAGATGACTCCATTTTGAAAGTGCTGTTGCCAAGCAAACATAGAGACCTGAGTTCAACCCCTAGCACTAACAACAGTAAAAAAGCCAGGAGTGATGGTGTATGCCAGGTCCCAAGACCTTGTCTCAAAAGACAAGATGGGGCTCCTGAGGTACTGAGGAGGAATGACACACAAGTTCATTTCTTCAAGGAAACCTTCTTGATCTCAGACTGGCACTCTCCTATCAGCAGACTTTCCCTAACAAAACTTAACAGAACTGCAATATTATGTGCTAGTTTGTTCTTGCCTATAAAAACCACAAGAGCACAGAAATGAATTCTATGCACAACATAATATACCTGCAAAGAGTAGGTAAAACAGTAGTTTGTTAAGTATGCAAATACCAAGCGTCCATTAACCAATATGGTCCACAATGTCTCCAATTCAGCATTTCACTCACAAATCTTGATCAGTATCAACACATAAATCAGTTTTGGCCTTTTTAAAAGGTTCTTAAATTATGTATTTTTGTGGAGAAGAGACGAGTATAAGCAGGTGCCTCTGAGAGTCAGGCATCAAACACCCTAGAGGTGGAGTTACTGGAAGTTGTGAACTGCCTGACACAGGTGCTGGAAACTTGGGGCTGCAAGCTCTTAACTGCTGAGCATCTCTACAGCTCCCTCAGTATTTGGTCTGTTTCTTTCTACTATACTATGAAAGCAAATGCTGAGACAGCATACATTTAAATAAAAATCTAGTTTCCTAATACCTGCTTCACTTATCTCATAAAACTGTAGGCAGGAGCTGGCTATTCTAGAATTATAGCAGTAGATAACTAAATTGCTAATTTGAAAAATCAGCATATTCTAATGTTCTGAAGCCTTAACTTTATTTAATCTACTATTCTCAGTAATTTAACTGTCTAATGCTCAAGGGAGTATTAACTGTAAAGAGTTATAATCAGTCACCTCTTGAAACTGTAGGAACTGTAGATCTGAGTGGATGTTAAATCACATGTGAAAGAAAATAAAAACCCATCATGCCTATGAGCAGCTCCCAGAATACACTGACCTTAAGTCAAAGGAGGGAAAGTGAGACAGAACTTTAGGCCAAGGTCTGACTAGAGTTCTTCCTTTTTAACATTCTGTATTTAAACATCCAAATACTCAGTACAAAATCACTGACACCAAAAGTATGTAACTGTACTGCTCAATCAACTAACATAACGAACCAATACAGAGATAGAAGAGAACTCGGATACAGAGAACAAAATGGTACCATTTTTTGGAAGTTTCCTGGGTGGCCCTGTCTGGTGCACTGTGAAATCTTTAGCTATGGCCACAGCAGGTACTGAATGAACATTTGTTGGGAAGGCACAAGAGCACAGAAATCGGTCAGAAGCTTCTTCTCATTATTCATTCCATTATGCACGGTGTTGCTATTTTGTTCTACTAGCAATTGCAAAAGTGGTAACATCAGAAGGCAGGTATACTGAGCTACAACTATTTACGAAAAAGTACGCACAATAAGTATAAAACACAAAAATCAATTGAAATGAACTTCTTTAGTACAGTAACTTTTTTAGTAAGCTGAAAAGAATAATCAGTTTTATGGCACTGCAATTTCGAAGGAAAGTTAAGGATTTGTTTTTTTCATGTGTTTATGCTCAATTGTATTAGTTTCTTCTCCCTTCACAAACTTGCAAGTAGATGTTTAAAGGAGTCTGTTAAAACCAGAAGCTTACTATTCATTTACTATGAACAGATTAATCTCTAGGGGGAGAGCAGAAAGCTAAATTTAACAACTTGGTAGAGTATTATAATAAAGCTATTTCTAATGTATACATTCTAAAACAACAAAGGGTTTACGATGACTGCAAAACAAACTTATTTGACATTTTAAATTACAAAAAAAAACTAATCATCAAAAATACAACGAAAACAACTATGAGGTTTCTAAAAACTTAAGTGCCTGCTTGCCATTTCATTTGTTGCTGTTGTTGTGGGTGGGTTTCATCATTTTGTCTTTGGAGACAGGGACTAGGGTAGCTCAGGCTGGCTTTGATCTACGTAGCCAGGGATGATCTTAAGTATTTGATCCTTCTGTCTCTGTTGAGATTACAGTTATCACCAGTATGGATGTAACCAACTGTTTTATTAAATAAGAAACACAGAAATAATGCAAAAGAGAAAGCCG